TAGTGCAATTTTTTTTTGTTTTTTTTGCATTTCGATCATTCATTAGTGCTACAAAGTCAGTCGGTTCATAAGTTTTCATCTAGCTTATTCTCATCCCGACGTAATTTATATAAATAATTGTATCTGAATTTCAATTTTTGATAATTATATTTTAACTAAACCTTCCCATTATATTATGAATGTAAGTGTCAATTGTTGAGAGGGTTTACAAAATTTATAATAATGCTAGCTAACACCGTTCTAAGCGACCATACTCAGTATGTGCAATTAAATGGATACTTTGACTTTACATTTAAATAAATTTACCATTTAATAACATTTAATTGTCACATAAACGGATGTTAAACACCAACGGTTCTAAATATCACTACTGATAATAAATTCGCTTCAATAATTTTATTTAACACTCATTTATTGAAGTTTTACTATAAATTAAAAAATGCAATCTCGAATGTCTCATTTATCCATTTTATTAATAAGTTTATATTTTATACATATTTATTGAAATCATGAAATCTTTCATATTTGAGACTTTTAATGTAACATTAGACTTGAAGAATGAGAAAAACACTGATACAACTCTTACTCTGAAATAAATAATCATTCAAATGTTAAATAACTTGACATCTAAAATATGTGAAATGTATAAACTGAAATATGTTGTTCTGATCCGATAATTCGATAATGTGGGAAGATGTTTGAAGACAAAATATTTTAAGGATTTCTGTTTCCAAACTCGGACCATGGATTTTTATTGTAGACGTTCACTTTAACTCAGATTTTAATAGATTTTAAATTTTGTTGTCGACATCTCAGATTTTAATAGTTTTAAATAAAATTTGGAACCTCGTATGAGATTTTAATAGATTCCATTAAAATCTAATTGTTTTATTAAAGAATAATTAATGGAAGATTTGAATAAATTTTAATGAATTTCAATCCTATAATTATACATACTTAACTGATTAGTCTTTCGTCACAAGTGCATTATTTATACATGATGCTCGACACTATAATAAAAAAGATTTTTAATTTTAGATTAAATTGATTTTTAATTTGGTGATATTTATTTGGTTAACTTTGTAGATTATTTTTATAAAAAAAATCAAATTAAACTTATTTTAAATTTGTTGATTATTATTTGTTTGGTGGTTTAGATTGATAAAAATTGTTATTTTAAATGACAAATTTATAATTTTTGTGGAATTTATTAGATTATTACCAAATCCATTAAATTTATGATAAAGAACTTAGTAAAGTTCTTAAGAAATTCATTAAAATTTATGTTGAGAATATCCAATAAATTGAAATAATCAAACTCAAAATAGCAAAAAACTTAATAATATAAAGTTAGCACCAAAAATTATCGTTATCTTTTTGGGCAAATCTTTCATTATCTACCATTTTCTCAAAATGATGAAAATTATTTCATTCCCATTCATCTGGCAATAAATCTTCTACTTAATCGATACGTGGCATGCCAACTTACCACTTCACTATGTCACAAAAATGTAAAAAATAAAATAATAATAAAATCTTTCAGCGTTTACAGATTGTGACATAGTAGTGAAATGCACATCTAAATTGAAGTTCCGCGTTCCAATATAGACAACTAAAGTTTATTACAAAAAGTTCAGTGACCTCTGATGAAATGAAAAAATTAGGGTCGTGCTCCCAACCTTTTGACGTGATGTGGTCATTGGCCCCAATCTTAAAAAGTGGGGTTCTGGATTGTTAACCTATTTAAAATTGTAAATTTGGGTCTCTACATGATAGAAATCATCAATACAAAAATTAAAATCCCACTTGACTTTCAATTGAGCGGAAGAGAAATGTAAAGTGGTATGATGATTTTTCCTTCTAACTGTAAGTCACATAAAAAATGCGTAAATGTCAACTTTGACAATTTTGGTCATGTCGATTGCGAAATTATAGATTTAGTTAAATTTTAGATCTAAAATCTTTCCTTTAAAGGTTGAACATCACTTAAGAGGTTGGAAAACTCGTCCTAATTTTCAAGAGTTAATTTTGGGGCAAGAAGTGGGGTGGGCGTTGGCCGCAAGTAGGTTGTTGGCTCGACTCACGCCTGAAAACAAACTACTGACACGAGCTGAATAGCAAAACATTTGTGCGAGCTGCAGTACAGTAGCTCACGATCCACTTAGAGAGTTAGGTTTTTGGCCAAATTCAAGAAGAAAAAATTGGCTCGTCCAACAAGGAACTAGTTCGTGAGGCAAGCAGAGCCACATTTCGATGAAGTGAACTGATTTGCATAATGGGTCAAGCTGAACTTGGATTGTAGGCAAGAGAGATGCTCGAGTGGCCCATTTTACACGCCCTAGGTTAAATTAACCATATTAAAGTTTGGTGATTAAGGTGCCACAAAAGTTTAATATTAACCATATTTTCTTTCTTTAATTTTTTTTGTTTACCCAAAAAAAATTGAATGCAAAAGCACAAATAGCAAAAGAATTAAATACAAATTCAAGATTGTTAGTGCAATTTTTTTTTGTTTTTTTTGCATTTCGATCATTCATTAGTGCTACAAAGTCAGTCGGTTCATAAGTTTTCATCTACCTTATTCTCATCCCGACGTAATTTATATAAATAATTGTATCCCTTAAAGTTAAAAACTATTAATATATTTATCTAAACCTTCCCATTATATTATGAATGTAAGTGTCAATTGTTGAGACGGTTCACTAAACTAATATAAAATATTTTACCTTATTATTTATAATAATGTTATCTAGCACCGTTCGAAGTGACCATACTCAGCATGTGCAATTAAATTGATACTTTGACTTTACATTTAAATAAATTTACCATTTAATGACATTTAATTGTCACCTAAACTGATGTTAAGCACCAGAATGCTAAATAGCACTACTCTATTATTTAAGTGAAATTATTAATTTATTTAACACTCATTTATTGAAGTTTTACTATAAATTAAAAAATGCAATCTTGAATGTCTCATTTATCCATTCTATTAATAAGTTTATATTTTATACATATTTATTGAAATCATGAAATCTTTCATATTTGAGACTTTTAATGTAACATTAGACTTGAAGAATGAGAAAAACACTGATATAACTCTTACTCTGAAATAAATAATCATTCAAATGTTAAATAACTTGACATCTAAAATATGTGAAATGTATAAACTGAAATATGTTGTTCTGATCTGATAATTCGATAATGTGGGAAGATGTTTGAAGACAAAATATTTTAAGGATTTCTGTTTCCAAATTCGGACCATGGATTTTTATTGTAGACGTTCACTTTAACTCAGATTTTAATAGATTTTAAATTTTGTTGTCGACATCTCAGATTTTAGTAGTTTTAAATAAAATTTGGAACCTCGTATGAGATTTTAATAGATTCCATTAAAATCTAATTGTTTTATTAAAGAATAATTAATGGAAGATTTGAATAAATTTTAATGAATTTCAATCCTATAATTTTATACATAACTAATTAGTCTTTCGTCACAAGTGCATTATTTATACATGATGCTCGACACTATAATAAAAAAGATTTTTAATTTTAGATTGAATTGATTTTTAATTTGGTGATATTTATTTGCTTGAATTTGTAGATTATTAAAAAAAAAAAATCAAATTAAAAACTTATTTTAAATTTGTTGATTATTATTTGTTTGGTGGTTTAGATTGATAAAAATTGTTATTTTAAATGACAAAGTTATAATTTTTGTAGAATTTATTATATTATTACCAAATCCATTAAATTGGTGATGAAGAACTTAGTAAATTTCTTAAGAAAATCATGAAAATTTATGTTGAGAATATCCAATAAATTGAAATAATCAAACTCAAAATAGCAAAAAACTTAATAATATAAAGTTAGCACCAAAAATTATCGTTATCTTTTTGGGTAAATCTTTCATTATCTACCATTTTCTCAAAATGATGAAAATTATTTCATTTCCATTCATCTCGCAATAAATCTTCTCCTTAATCGATACATGGCATGCCAACTTACCACTTCACTATGTCACAAAATGTAAAAAAAAAAAAATTAATAATAATAATCTTTTAGCGTTTATGGATTGTGACATAGTAGTGAAATGCACATCTAATTGAAGTTCTATGTTCTAATCGAGACAACTAAAGTTTATTGACTCAATTGAGGTTTTACAAAAAGTTCAGTGACCTTTGATGAAATGAAAAAATTAGGATTGTGCTCCCAACCTTTTGACGTGGTGTTCATTGGGCCCAATCTTAAAAGGCGGGGTTCTAGATTCTTAACATATTTAAATTTGTAAATTTGGATCTCTCCGCGATAGAAATTATCAATACAAAAATTAAAATCGCACTTGACTTTCAATTGAGCGGGAGAGAAATGTAAAGTGGTATGAAGATTTTTCCGTCTAACTGTAAGTCTCATAAAAAATGTGTAAATATTAACGTCAACTTTGACAATTTTGGTCATGTCGAGACCCAAATAATAGATTTAGTTAAATTTTAGATTTAAAATATTTCCTTTAACGGTTGAACATCACTTAAAAGGTTGGAAAACTGATCCTACACCTGAAAACAAGATACTGGCACGAGCTGAACAGTAGAACACTTGTTCAACTCGTTCTACGCCTGAAAACAAGCTACCGACATGAGCTTTACAACAGAACACTTGTGCGAGCTGCAGTAGCTTAAGAGCCACTCATGGAGTCAAGGTTTTTGGCCAAATTCAAGGGAAAAAAATTGGCTCGTCCATCAAGGAACTAGTTCGTGAGGCAAGCAGAGCCACATTTCGATGAAGCGAACTGATTCGCATAATGGGTCAAGCTGAACTTGGATTGTAGGCAAGCGAGGTGCTCGAGTGGCCCATTTTACACTCCCTAGGTTAAATTATCTATATTTACTAGAGACCCCGTGGAAAAATAAATAGTTTCAAATGAAAACATACTTCGAGTGGTAAATCTAGAAATACAATCTTCCATTGTTTCTTGCTCTCAAAAACCAGAAGTATTCTCCATGGAAGCAAGCAGTTTTAAGCGATCATCACAGCGAGACGAAGAAAAGGTAATTTTTCAAGTTCAAATCTTCTCTTTGCATGTCATCTATTTGTTGAATTATTTTTCATCTTTGCCTTCTACTGCACAAAACCCTTGAGGTTAAAACCGTTCTTCACTAATCTTTTATTTTCTTTTTTCAAGGGGAAATTCAAGAATGACTGTTGATTCTTGTGAAATCTTCAATTTTGCAAATTTGCAATTATGGGAAACTTGAAAGAAAACTCAACCCATTTAGAAATTAGGCGTGGCTTGGTGCATGATTAAGTAAACAATGATTAAAATCTTACACTAATTTAGAAATTTAAAAATTATTGGTAAATTGTTGTCTTCATTTTACATAAAAAAAATCTCCTGGTCTGATTCTTGGGATGATACAGAATTTGGCTGATCCCTAATGTTATGTGCACTTAATGAAGTGATATATAGTGAAAGATTATATAACTGTGCATAGATGCGTATGTTCAAATCCTACGTGATTCCGTTCTTGTTAGGTGTAATTACATTGAAGCGGGATCAGAAGCAAGCGGTCCTGGATAAAATACAGTTGATATATGGATGTGATGTCCGAATTCCATATCAGCTGTATATTAATGTTACTTCATATAGAAAGTGGAAACCTATTTACTTATAATTCATATTGCAATCCTAGTTAGAGTTAAAACCTATTTTTTAGTGTTCAGAAAAAAGTCAGAATCTGACATAAGAAGCAATCAGTTCTATCATAATTGAATTGAACCCATCGGCCTCTGGTTAAGGAAAATGTGTGCAAGCATCTAAAACATGCATGTTACCTACTCTGTTTTCGGTCCCTTTTTTAATTCTTGAAGCACAAAGGAAATAAAATTTTAACCATATCAAGGTATAGATGATTATATTTATTTTGCTTATGAACGTTCCGTTGAACTTTTCAGCCATTAACTTTTATGTACAACGACTTGAGTAGTTTATGAAATTCAGTTACCTTGAGGTGCTTATGCTCGTTGTTTTGTGTATATAAGGTCTCGAGCAACTAAGTAGCTACCGTTCTTGATATTTGAAAGCTCTTTGTTTCAATTCTGAATATATTGCAGATAAATGTATATTTGAAATGATGATTCATTTCCTCATCTAGCTCTTTTGTACATGGGTCATAACTCATAACATAAAAAATGGACCATGTTATATATACACGAAAGTCATTGATTTACACTTATGTGAGTTGACAGACTTTGGCACATTAATCTTGACAGCATATTTTTCAATCAACTGCCAGATTTTTGACACATAGATGGTGTCAATTAAAGTGTACACTTTGTGTGTATAAGTAGTTTAGTCAAAAAAAATCACAATCTGTTTTTCAAGTCTCAAAATGTCTGCATCTACTATTGTAGATGAGCAGTACAAATCCTTATAAATTGATATATGTTTTCATCTTTATTCGTTGTGAAATTTTATCGTTCAACATGTCAAATGATTCTTTTAATTGAACCTATTAAGTGCAGCAATCTAAACTATTGTTATAACACTAATGCTGCTAAATAACATTATTAATATAAGTTTTACTCATAAAGAGTAAATTGTACTAGAAAACAATAAATCAACACAATACAACATCGGGTGGAAGTGGTCCGTTTGACACCTTCTTCATTAGATAGCACTCGAGCACCTAAGTAGCTACTGTTCTTGATATTTGAAAGCTCTTTGTTTCAATTCTGAATATCTTGCAGATAAATGTATACTTAGAGGTCAATAAGAAAGTTTGTTTAAATATAAAGAGGTCGGAGACCATTAGAAATGTGAAAGCGATGTTATGTGAGAAGGAAGGTATATCCGAATATCTGCAGGATCTCTGTTTTAAAGGTGACCTTCTCAAGGATGCCCAGAGTCTGGTAGATTGTGGAATCGATAAAAATTCAACTGTCCAAGTTTTTGTCCATATACCTATCAATCTGTTCATCAAAATGCCAGCTGCTAAGAAAACAATTACTGTTGAAGCAAAGCCTAGTGATACCATCCAGAACATCAAAACTCGGATCAGGGAGAAAGAAGGCTTCTGTTCAGATCAGTACACTCTGATTTCTGCTGGAAAGCCACTTGATGATAATCAGACTGTAGAAGGCCTCAACATTCGAGGTGGTTCGACCCTTCATATGTTGTTGAATCCAAAAGACATGTTGCTAATTTCTGTAAAAATGCGAACTGGAGAGATTCTGAAGTTAGAAGTTAAGCTCTTGCACACAATTTGCGACGTCAAAGCAATACTTGAGAGCATGGTTGGTTCGTCTCTTAATGATATGGTACTAACATATGCTGGAAAGCAACTGGAGGACTCAAAGACTCTCTCTTCTTTAAACATCAAAGAAGAATCAATTTTAGAAATGTTGCCTCTTTCTTTTCCAATATTTATCAAGAGCTCGTGTGGCAAAACTATAACTTTTGATGTGCATCGACATGACATCATTAAATGTCTGAAGGGCAGGATCCTTCAAAAAATAAAAGTGCCAACTTATTTCCAGCTCATGTTTGAGGGAAAACGTCTAGAAGATGATCGAGATCTGGGTAGCTACAATATTCAGAGTGACTGCACCCTCCATTTGGTTTTCTGGCCATCAACCTTAATCCGCCGGACTAAACTATCTATTGCAGGTAGTATAGATATACAAGATTCTACTACCATTAATGACTTGAAGAAGAAAATTCAGCTAGTGATGGACAGGCCTGTGAGAGAACTAATCTTGGATGGCAAGGCATTAGAAAGTCAGCTAACCATTGGTGATTATGGTATTAAAATGAACACAGTTATTGATGTGGCTTTGGAAGTGCAATGAGCGATTTGTAGCATCTCTATTGTAGCCGAGTATTCATGTAGTCTTGGTGCAACTACTATGAAAATTTCTATACTATAGGCATTAGCGAGGCTAAATACTGATAATTTTGCAGCTTACTGCATTGATAGCTTGATAACTCTTTGTCACCCTTTTAATATTTATTTCTTCATTGTCAGCCTGTTTCATTACTTTATTACTATTATTCCATGCACTTTATCTACTTTGTTCCCTGCAGTAACTTTCAAGAAAATATGCTGAGTTTTGTTGTGTACTTTATTGATGAATAGTATAGCACGTCATTTGGCTTTCTTCTCTAATGGCCAAAACCCCGTGAACACCTAAAACTCTAGCCAAGTTTAGATGGCATTTTAATTCAAAAGAGGTTGACGATCGCCCTGAAGGCCAGGGAGAATCCTGTGTTTGGGAGGCGAGCTCAACTTTGCTTGTCAATTGAAGTGACGTGTGTCGTTGCTATAGCGTTTTTTCAACGTGTTCAACCTCCATTTTCTAAATTTTTTAATATCTTCACTTTTTGTGTTTTTTGTTCGAGTTCTTGAATTCGTGCTTCAATTTGTGTTTAGTGTTTCTGTCTCCAACCCTCTAGAGAGTTTCACTTTTACCAATGGAGGCTAGAACTATTCGTGTTCAGAATAATTTGAAGATGTAAAAATGTGGTAACTGTTTGTCAAAAAGAAACAAAAGATAGGACAAACTGTATTTCCCAAGCATAGAATCTCTTCATTCAGAAAAAATCTGCAAAAAGCAAAAGATGCAAGATGCCATACATGAGAGGACCTCAAGGAAGTTCGCCATCAATAAGAGACACTTCATTTAAAATCTTCTTTTGACAACTCGCATTAAATTGAAGTTAAAAATAAGAGTGAAAAATAAAAACTGCACATTTCATTTTGCAACTAAACACTTGGATGTGAATTTCAGAGCAGAGTGAAAAATAAGAGCTGCACTATCAGTTCTCCAACTGGATCGGCAGTGACCAAGGTATCACCGAGAAGCTAAACTACTCTTCTATTGTCGTTGGCGCAGCAATCTGAAAGAATGCGATTCCAATTTTCCAACTGAATCAATAGTGATGGCGGTAATCAGTGAGAAGCTAAACTACTCTCCTGTTTTTCAATGTTGCAGCCATCTGGAAGAATTGTACCGCCAACTCTGGTCGGAGGCCAATATCGAAACACCGATCTCCCTATTATATTCTTTGAAGGAAGGGGACCCCTAATCAAAGGAAGATTTCATATATAAGAAAGTGTAAATCATCTTCAGGTGATATCTTAAATTTTTAACTGTCAAGAAATATTACCAGACATGCGAGTCATAGCTGTTATTTCGATTATCACCCATCACAAAAACAGAGTTCTCAGGTACACGCTGTACCAAAATACAAAGATGTTATGGGATTTACAAACAATTCTATTTTTCAATCTAGTTATGGTGGTCGGAGTACCATGCAAGGCTTCAACCCAGGGATTTTGAGGTCATAGGATTCAATCATTAATTGCCATTAATAGATTATAGACCATCTCGACTTTTTTATCCTGATCTTAACACTCACGTGAGGAGAAAAAATGAGCTTAATGAAGTATACAATAATCTGAACTTACAATTTGATTCATTTCATACTTGGGTACTTCAAGAATGTAATCTTCATTCCTGACAACCCCGTTTACAATCAGTTTTCCATCATGAACCTGAACTAGAAAGAATAACACAAGAACGACGGGTATTACATATCTAATTGCAAAAGATTCTTATAGATAGCTAGGAGACGATGCAGAAATCACAAATGAAAAAAGGAAAATCAAAGCCAAGAACTTGGAGCACGAATCAGTAGATCTGTAAGAATATTTTTGCATTCATGATTCGAAGAACAGAAATAGATTGAAGAGATTAGCTTCTGCTGTAATATTACATGTGATGATACTAGGGAGAGAATTTCTCATATTATTGTGGCAGACCAAGTGCAGGATAAATTCCCGTCAAGGCAAATATAATACCTTGTAAATTAATTTTATTTCTGAAGTTCTCTTAACTATGTATGTAGGTTTAAGAAAAATGACACAAAGGTGTTGACGGACATCTGAACAGGATTAGGCATTAAATAGAATTGATAGGTTCTGCTTGAAGAAAGATGGTACAATAGAACCTGTTTAGGATGATGAAGCCAATTCATAAATGTTACCAAAAAGATGAAAAAGCACGTGATACGTGCTAGCCATGCAAGTAATAAGTAACGCCAAGATTCAAACGTGCTGGAAGTGGAAATATGAAGACTTGGTCTTGGTCAAGCATGTTTCCAAGTCTGTTGATTTGTTTCCGTTTGTTAGTGAATAAGTCCAAGTGGTTAAGTCTTGGTGCAGGATATATTCCCGTCAAGGCAAATATAATACCTTGTAAATTAATTTTATTTCTGAAGTTCTCTTAACTATGTATGTAGGTTTAAGAAAAATGACACAAAGGTGTTGACGGACATCTGAACGGGATTAGGCATTAATAGAATTGATAGGTTCTGCTTGAAGAAAGATGGTACAATAAAACCTGTTTAGGATGATGAAACCAATTCATAAATGTTACCAAAAAGATGAAAAAGCACGTGATACGTGCCAGCCATGCAAGTAATAAGTAACGCCAAGATTCAAACGTGCTGGAAGTGGAAATATGAAGACTTGGTCTTGGTCAAGCATGTTTCCAAGTCTGTTGATTTGTTTCCGTTTGTTAGTGAATAAGTCCAAGTGGTTAAGTCTTGGTGCAGGATATATTCCCGTCAAGGCAAATATAATACCTTGTAAATTAATTTTATTTCTGAAGTTCTCTTAACTATGTATGTAGGTTTAAGAAAAATGACACAAAGGTGTTGGTGGACATCTGAACGGGATTAGGCATTAAATAGAATTGATAGGTTCTGCTTGAAGAAAGATGGTACAATAAAACCTGTTTAGGATGATGAAACCAATTCATAAATGTTACCAAAAAGATGAAAAAGCACGTGATACGTGCTAGCCATGCAAGTAATAAGTAACGCCAAGATTCAAACGTGCTGGAAGTGGAAATATGAAGATTGGTCTTGGTCAAACATGTTTCCAAGTCTGTTGATTTGTTTCCGTTTGTTAGTGAATAAGTCCAAGTGGTTAAGTCTTGTTGATTATTTTTCCTAATCTGTAGCCTAATTGTAGCATTATTGTTATCACTTTGAAGGCTATAAATAGACTGAACGTATTCAATAAATGGCAGGAATTATTTGCTCAAGTATATCTCCTTTATTCTTCTTCTGCTTCCAATTCCATTCTTCTCTTTAATTCAAAAAAATTCTTATCGGTGGTATCAGAGCACGATTCCAACCATGGACACTCGCGACAAGTCAAATGCAGAATTTCGTAATGATGTTAACAAAATTTTAGCAATGCATGCCGAACTTCAAGCTCTTTGAACCTCACGTAGTCCATGCCCTAGCCATCCAGAAATGAACCCATATGCACAGAACAATCCCCACACACACATAATTCTTGTTCTAACACCACAAACAACCACCCTCATCAATACCTCAAATTGTCTTTCCCAAAGTTTAATGGACATGACCCAACTGGCTGGATCTACAAGGCGGAACAATATTTTGATTTCAAAAGTATTGCACCAAACCAACAAGTTTAGCTAGCCTCCTTCCATCTTTAAGGCATTGCCTTACAATGGCACATGTAACTGACCAAATTTCGAGGACCACTTACATGGGAGTTCTCCAAAGCAGTCCTTCTCTGCTTTGGTCCAATTGATTACGAAGATCCATCGGAAACTCTAACTCAACTTAGGCAAACCTCAACAGTATCAGCTTACCACGAAACTTTCGAAAAAGCTTTCCCACTAAGTTGACAGCTAGTCCGAAAATTTTCTCATTGGTTGTTTATTGCAGGACTTCAAGATGATATCCGCCTAGATGTAAAAATCAAACAACCCAGCACCTTGGTAAATTAGATAGGAGCCATCCGGATAATTTATGAACGAAATTAGTTACAAAAGAAAACAAGCCAACCTTTTCGCCTCCAACTAGCTTTAGTGGCACAAAAGACGAAACCCAATCCAATAGCTAGGGTACTAGGCCATCCATCGAATCAACATGTGAATTCAAACTCATATTCTGCTCCAGCAACATTTCATCGAATCACCAATCAAGAGGCGCGAGAACGTCGAGAGAAGGGATTACGTTACTATTGTGACGAGAAATTCATTTCCGGTTATCGCTGTGAATGTCCACAATTATTCATGTTGAAGACTCACTACATCCAAGCCCATATGATGATGACAATGCTCAACAAGAACCAGAAGGTGAAGCCAAAAATTTCTTTTCATGCCATTGCCGAAACCAATCATCCACAGACAATATGTGTCATGGGTAAGCTGAGAAATAAGAATATAACTGTGCTATTAGACGGCGGCAGCACTCATAACTTCATCGATCAAGCTATAGTGACTAAGTACGAGTTAATTGTGATTCGGGACAAAAAGTTTCCAGTTATGGTGGCTAACCGAGAGAAAATAGAGCGTGCTGGGCAATGTCAGGCGCTTACCAACATCATTCAAGGGTATTCCATCACAGCAGACTTACTATATTCTTCCAGTTGCAGCATGCACATTAGTTTTAGGCATACAGAGGCTTGAAACTCTTGGACCTATCGAGAAGGCTTATAAGCAATTAACAATGACCTTCAAAGTCGAAGGAGTTCTCCACATTTTCAGGGATTGAAGCATGTTGGCATTGAAGCCTTTAACAGACAAGGAATTCAACAATCTACAAGGTAGTGGGCTTTTCTTCCAAATAATCCCTCCCATCGACAGCAAACAACTAGACTCGTATCCACCTGACCTGCACTGCCTCTTAGCTGAGTTCTCTCATGTATTTAAACCACCCACCGACTTACCTCCAAGGCAGTCACATGACCATCGAATTCCACTATAGCCAAATACAGAACCTGTGAGTGTAAGGCCATATCGCTATCCTTACTACCAAAAAATGGGGATAGAAAAGAAAGTTAAAGAGCTCTTGCAATCCGATTTGATTAGACCTAGCCATAGCCCGTTCTCATCACTAGTTTTACTAGTAAGGAAGGCAAACGGTGATTGGCAATTTTGTGTGGACTAGAGAGCCTTGAACGATATTACAATCAAAGATAAACATCCAATCCCAGTAATTGGCGAAATTCTAGATGAGATTCATTGTGCAAATTTTTTTCAAAACTGGATTTACAAGCTAGCTATCACCAAATTCGAGTGCAAGAAGATGACATTCCGAAAACAGCTTTTTGAACGCATGAAGGACCGATATATTTCCTCCTTATCTCCGAAAGTTTATTTTAGTTTCTTTGTGACATTCTCGTGTACTCAAAATCCTGGGATGACCATCTCATACATTTGCAAATTGTTCCAAGAAATCTCTTGACTAACAGTCAGTTTGAAAAAGAATCAAAATGTCGATTTGGTGTTTTACAGGTTGAGTACTTGGGTCATATAATTCGGAACAAGGAGTGGCAATCGATCCACCCAACATACAAGCTGTTATTAATTGGCCTACACCGACGATTATAAAAGGGGTCCGCGGGTTTCTTGGCTAAGCAGGCTACTATCGAAAGCTTATCCGTTCAGATGTATAGCAACTCCCTTCACCCAGCACCTGACCAAGGATGGATTTCAATGGAATGAGACGGCAGAATTAGCCTTCAAACAATTGATAGAAGCATTGACTACACCACCAATTTTATGCCTTCCAGATTTTTCTCAACAATTTGTGATTGAATATGATGCAAGCGGAATCGGAATCGGAATCGGTGCAATCCTTACCCAACACAATTGACCAACGACATATTTTAGAGAATCATTAAAAGGCTTGGTATTGACTTTATCTACCTATGAAAAGGAGATGTTGGCCATCATCAAAGCAATCAAGAAGTGGCATCCATATTTGCTTGGAAAAACCCTTTACAGTCCGCATCGACCAAAAAAGTCTCAAGTACCTACTAGAGCAACGAATTACTACACCTGCACAAACTCGATGGCAGCCAAAGATTCTTGGTTATGATTACGAAATTGAATATAAAAGAGGTCCTAAAAATCAAGGTGCAAATTCTTTATCACGTGTTGTTGAATTTCAATTCTTGTCCATTTCCATGCTACATGCAGATTGGTGACCATTGCTCTAAAAGGAAGTCCAACAAGACTTATGTTATGAAGACTTGATAAAGAAAGGTTCCTTCGAATCAAACCACAAATTGGTGCAACGAGACGGCATATGGTTCAAAAGAAACAAAGTTTATATGAGCCCCACCGCAACCTTGATTCCAAAGACAATAGCTGACGGTCATTCATCATCAATCAAGGGCATTTCGGGTTTTATAAAACTCTCTCCCGTATCGAGCAAAGTTTCCTCTGGCCTAATATGCGTTGGACGGTGAATGTTTATTTGCAACAGTGGGATGTTTGTCAACGATTCAAGATCGGTTGTATGAAGCCAACGAGTCTACTCCAACCACTTCCAGTCCCTACACAAATGTGGACCAATGATTCAATGGATTTTATTGAAAGGTTGACATCTTCTAATGGATACAACGACATCATGGTAGTCGTTGATCGATTAACGAAATATGCTCACTTTGTACCTTTAAGACACCCATTTACCGTTGTGACTGTCGCTAAAGCCTTTGTCACCAACGTGGTTCGCCTACACGGCATTCCTACGTCCATTGTTAGCAATAGGGACAAGGTGTTCATCGGTTCATTTTGGAAAACATTGTTCCATTTGCAGGGAGCCAAGCTATGTATGAGCTCAAGTTACCACCCATAAATTGACGGCCAAACAGAAGTAGTAAATCAAACTTTGGAACAATATTTACGATATTCAGCTAGTGACCAGCCACAAACCACCAAAATGACACCTTTTGAAGCTGTTTATGGTATTTCACCCCCAAGTCTACTAGCTTATGTACCGGGCACTTTTCGCATCCAAGCGATAGATGAGTACCTATGTGATCGAGATGACATTCTACATGAATTCAGAAGCAATCTTTTCCAAGCTCAAGAATGGATGTAATACCAAGCAAACCAACACCGATGCGAGGTTTTGTTCGTGGTGGGAGTATGTGTATTTGAAACTACAACCTTATTCACAGTCCTCAGTAGCTTTTCGAGGCTCCATGAAACTCGCCCCTTGTTTCTTTGGTCCATATCAAATAATGGAAAAAATAGGTAAGGTGGCATATTGGTTGGATCTACCTCCAGGTTCCCAAATCCATGATGTGTTCCATGTTAGTGTGTTATGGAAGCATTCGGGACTAGTGACCCCGCCCTCGACTCAACTTCCACGAGTTTCACATACCTCTACCATCCTTCCATGACCAGAAGTTGTCCTAGATTGACGTGTAATTTGTAAGGGAAAATACCGTCTAAAGTCTGAAATCTTGGTTAAATGGGAAGGAGCACCAGCAGAAGACGCAACCTGGGAAAATGAGTGGCCCTTTACCAAGACATATCCTAATTTTATCCTCATCCTTGTGGACAAGGATCTTTAAGTGGGGGAAAATGATACGTGCCAGCCACGCAAGTAATAAGTAATGCTAAGATTCAAACGTGTTGGAAGTGGACATACGAAGACTTGGTCTTGGCGAAGTTTGTTTCCAAGCCTATTGATTTGTTTTTGTTTGTTAGTGAATAAGTCCAAGTCGTTAAGTCTTGTTGATTATTTTTCCTAATCTGTAGCCTAATTTTAGCATTATTGATATCACTTTGAAAGCTATAAATAGCCTGCACATATTCAATAAATGGCAGGAATTATTTGTTCAATTCTCTCTCCTTTATTCTTCTTCTGGTTCCAATTCCATTCTTCTCTTTAATTCAAATTAATTCTTATCAGCACGTATATCTTTTTTTTGATAGGGTAGAAAATTTTAGGTATCTAAGCAAATGGGGATTCTGTGTTTGTTACCAATGCACTTTTTTGTTTATTTTTTCTTATTTTCGTCGATGTCCAGAGAATTGGATGATACAAATTACTAATCCTGTTGTCCAGTTTCTTTCTATCAATCAGAGTAACAAGAATGGTGTATATTACTCCAAGTTCATTATATACCAATAATTGTATCCAGCACCAGCCACTTAAGAAATCATGCAAAATCATAATACCGTAACTCATCAAACCTATAAGATAGTCCTTTTCCTATAGTATATTTAATTATAGAGGGACGCGCTTTGCATGACATACAAATGGATCCATGATGACCATTTTATCGAATAAAGCACAAATAGGAGGGAAAAAAGTCTTAAAATCTGACCTCCACAATATCACCTTCTTTTGCAACAATCCGTTTAATAAATACATCTTCATCTGTGTATCCAACTTCCTGAAGAACTGGTGGGCTTTTGAAGATTACAATATCATTGGGACAGGGCTTCCTGAAATAATAGGAGACCTGTAAATTCGAAATTAACATCAGATTCAGCAAAAAACGATTGACTCAGTTACCAAAGCTTTTGGTGAATTATGGACTTTATAGTAGTTCAAATAGTAAATTCTGAACAAGGGGAGCACATCAACATACATTTTCAGAAGTAAGAGTTCAAGCATTTAGCATCATACTAATTGCAGCACAGAACTGAGATATTATGCATAGTTTATCATAATATAATGATTAAATAGCTTATAGATTTAAAAATAACAGCTAGACCACTTCTAGGTCATGAAACTTGGAGCAGTGCATAACTTTTCAGAACTAGTTGAAACTGTGTATTATTGTAAGTTTTTACATGTTTCTTCTGTCTTCCAATTTTTTAGACTGGAATTGTGTGGCTAAAATTGAGTCAGTGAATCGGTTAACATTAACATTACCAAACAGTATATGAATTATCTCCACAGTGAATCAGTTAACATTATAACAGTTATTTCTTACATGTAATTATCTCCAAATAATATATGAATTATTTTACACGTAATTTCTTCTTACATTCTAGATAAGCCTTCTCTACAGTGAATCAGTTAACATTACCAAAGAATATATGAATTATCTCCAAGATCATATTTTCAACTCCAAGATGGAAGAATAATACCAAAACTTGCCCTAACATTTTGCAGTCAAGTTCCAAACTTTATCACCAAAATAAGAAAAGAATTACCTTTTCAGCTACAATCCTATCTCCAACATCAAATGTGGGATACATAGACAGCGAAGGAATATATCTAGGCTCAGCTACAAAAGACCTAAAGGCAAGTGATATGGCCAATGCTGCGAAAACTGTCTTGGCGTCATCGGAAGTGAAATTCAGCCATTCTGGCAATAACCCACTACTCTTCTCCACATTGTCATCATCTCCATCACCACCATCGCCGCCGCCTCCGCCGCCGCCATCCCCTTCCTCCGTGTCCAAAACTGCCTTTACGGTCTCTTTATTGGAGTCTTCTAATCTATCAGAACGAAGGGTCTGAAAGTGAGCATTTTTACTTTCTGAGTGGTTGAAAGACAGGAACTTTGGGCCCTTGAAGAAATATTTGAAATGGGTGTGGCTGAATTGGAGGCTCTTTGGTGAAAGATTGAAATTATTGGTGGGTGTGAAGCAGTGAACACGGGGGAAATTAGGGTTCTTCAGAGAAGGGAATGGAGGGAGGAGCCCCTGAGTCATCATCCGGTTGAAATGGAAAAGGCAGTTGAATTGCACGGTGGACCTCCCTACAGTACCCCGCGAAAACAGTGTGTGTGGTAGTGGTGCCCGTGGGAGATATGGGTAGTGGGGGTTCTGCTTAATCTGTTAAAATAGACCATGTTTGGTTGTGCCTATAAGCTGCACCGTCGTTATAAGAAAGTTTTTTAATAAATCAAATATGTCATCGAGAGAGGATTAGAGTCCGTTTAGTATGACTTTTGAAAAGCTAAAAATAAACTTTTGAAATTCAAAGTTATTTTTGGACATGTTAGCTAAATTTATAAAAGTGTTTTCTTATTAATTAGAAAAACGTTTAGAGGAAGTTGATCAAATATAATTTCTTTCAAAAGTACTTTTGGGATAGGAAGTTCTTTTAAAAAATTAATTTTCAAACAAAAATAAAGATAGCTTCCTCCAAAAACTCTATTACAGAAAGTAAAAATAAAAATAAAAGCAAAAGTTATGCCAAGCCAAACAAACCCTTGATAGCAGATATATCTATTCATGTGAAAAATCGTACTTTTTCAAATATCTTTACTCTTCTCATAGTTAGTGTAATTCTTTTGTGAGTTATCTCCGTAATTTTCTTTAACAAATATTTTTTTTTCAGTATGACAGATTTAAATGAAGGTTCTTTATAAATCATGTGTTAGTCTTTCTTTATTGCTATTGATGGATTTTGGCCGACCAACTAGAAGCAGAGAAATGTGTGTTTCTTGATCTCTGGACATGGACAAGTAACGATGAAAGAAATGAATGATTTATGTTTTACATGTCCGCTTCATTTGATTAGATGTGTATGCCTTGTGATAGGATACAATGATTTAGAGATTGAAGGATTATAAGAAAAGATTTGGTGCTAATAGAGTTCTATTGTATGATAAGACCATCACTAATAGAAGTACAATAATTAACCAAGTCTTCAAAAGTGCCCAAATTTGAAAGTTCATATTCTCAACAATCGTATAGAAAGAATCACAATGATACATCATTATCGTGCTTAAATGCTGACCATTTGAAAGAAATTAGCCAGAGTACAACTCATACAAAATGGGACATCACTCATTTACCAAACCATAACCATTTAGGACATGTTTGGCTTGCGGTTTTTAGAAACAATTGTACAGTCTACTCCACAAAACAAGCCATTAATATAAAAATACAACTGGATATAGAGTTGCTGGAAAACAACCTGAACAAGTCACATGAGTACAGAAGAAGTCAAGCATGAAGGTTATCCACTAATCTAACACCACCAAATTCACACTGTATATGTTTGATGGATATTATTGCGGAAAGAATGTATTTTAAATAGTGATATGATGAAAAATATATAGTCAAAAGGTAAGAAAAAGTTATTAATGTGATAAAAAATATTATTTTATTGAAGAATGTGTAGTTAAAAATGAATTTTGAAAGAATGTATTTTTTAAAAAAATGTGTCAAACATGGGCTAGATTGCTGACAATGAGTATTTTTAAACACTTTTTTTTATATGCTCATTTTTAACTACTCATTCACACAATAAAATATTCTCCACGTAAACCCAAATTTTTTCGTACTTTCTAACCCCACATTCTCCTAAAAAATATTATTCAAAACATTGTTTTCCACAAATGAGGGCTAACACAACATATTCCAATCCAGCCATCACATGTCAATCAAAGCCCCAAACATATAATCACCGGCAGAAATTAGGCACATATTTGATACATGGTAATAGACAAGACTAAACAGTATAACGAACAAAATTTGTAACTTCTTTCTTTTTTTGTAGCATCCCTACCAAACGTATTATGCACAAGCCTGAACGATAACCAAGGTTAACGATGAAAATTGCAAAAAATACTTAAATATTTGTAATAATAAGCCATAGTAAATACAATAGGGTGGAAGAAACATAATTTGTAAAAGAAGAATTGAGAGAAAAAAAAAACACGTATGCAACTAACTCTAGCGAAACATATCATTAATTCAATTGCTTGCTGTCAAGTACCATCACTGAAACCGTTACTATCATTTTTCATCCTTCTCTTCTCCATTTCTCTAGTTTGTTGGCCTTCGCTACTTGAGCCAGATGGATTTAATCCATATTCACTGGTTGGATTGCTGTAGTGACCCGTACTGCCATACTCCTGACTTGCCAATGCCAATTTCCTGAACTTTTTCATGTCCTCGTTGTATTGCATGGTATCGTAGTCAGAACTTCCATGAGAACTGTACATCGAGCTTTGTCCAGGCCTAATTCCCTCATTTAGATCAGACAGAGATACATTTCCTTCTAAGGCCCTGACAACCTGCTTAGATATGCGTTTTAGGTGACAATTAGAACATAACTATGGCACAACTAAGTTCAAGTACTGCTTGAATATTTATCCTAGATAATCCTAACTCAAATAGAGCTTTCATGATTACAACTACGTGAAGCAATGCTCAATCAGTTGGATTATTTCATAGCATTGTTGACCTTAAGGTCTGCTAAAACACATGTAGCATGTCTTTTGCGAGGAGTGGGTAGTCCTCGACAATGTTAAGAAAGAACAAGAAGCTAGTCTTGTTTATTATATGGTTGAGTGCTGCATACGAAACACCTACTTAAGGATTGGAAAGTTAATCTTGGATTCAATTTGCACCCATATATACAGCATTTGTTAAGATAGATATCTACTATTATTAATATTTTTCTATAATGCAAGCATACAACCCTGTGGTCCACTCATTGATGATACTAGACAAATATTTAGTGTGGAGCTTGATGACTGCAAAAGGAAGGCAATCGAAGTACCTGGCTCATTCTTGGTCGGCGCCTTGCCGAATGACGGACACAAGCAGCAGCACAAGCAACCATGCGAGCCATTTCATTAGGGTGGTAGTCCTTTTGCAATCGTGGGTCAACAAGGGCATCAAACTTTTCATCTTCCAAAGCCTGTGTGAGCAATGGCCTTGCCTATCACAATAATAGTTTCGAGTTAACGTCTTGCTATCAGATGCTCGACTCCCCAACTCTAACAGAAAGGATAGGAAAAAGCCAATGGTTTGGGAACTATGGTCTATTCGAGTAACTCACCCAGTCTACCAAGCTATCATCCATGAAAGATTGATTACTGTCAACAGGTCGACGTCCAGTAATCAATTCCAGAACCATGACCCCAAAGGAGAACACATCTGATTTATCGGTAAGTTTTCCGGAGGAAGCATATTCCGGGGCCATATAACTAGGAATAATGAAATGTCAGTATATAGTAATACTAAAGCTTGATTCTTAATAGGAAGAAATGTCTCAGTTGTAAAACATGAAACTATAACTAGAATCCAGCAGCTTTACATATTTATGTACAAAATTGGACCCAAACTCCAACTTCTCTTTATACATGGAGTGGAATACAAAATTTAGTTTACTATGCAGCTTGGTATAGAAAATTATACCAAGGTGTATTAGAACACATCTTTAAGAAACAAAAGTTCAAAACCTGACCAATTAAAAGTGTTGGAAAATATATAGAAAGGAAGCGCAGTGCAAACAAAAGTAGCAGTGATCATGATCCCCAACCAGGGCAGAGAGGGAAGAGGTTAAATGAAAATTAATTCAGCATTCTTGACAAATAATCACCTCAAACATCATAATAAGCAACAGTTAACACAAAAGAATTAGTTTTACCCAAAAGTTCCCATCACTCGAGTGGAGACATGAGTATTAACATCAGAAGTAATCTTTGCAAGACCAAAATCTGCAACCTGAGACAATAAATGATGCTCATCAATAAGCATAGTAAAATAGATAAATTTATCAATCTCCTCTACATCAATTATTTGCATGTTCAAGTTAAGTTGAGTTGCTAATTTCACTGTAGTCAGGGAAAATCTAAATAGACCTATTTTATGAGGAAATAGAGTTTCTAAATCCTACTGCTCATTTTCGAATGAGATATGAGTCACTGCCTAACTGAGAATGACAAAAGAGAACTAAAGGGCAGCCATTTGTAAGGATCGTAATTCTCCAAACATGACTATAAAAGACAGTACCTTTGCTTCAAAGTTGAAATCTAGAAGAATATTAGCTGCCTTGATATCCCGATGAATAATCTTTGGATAACCTAAGTGCAGAAAACACCCATTCAAAATCAAATATATTGAAGGGCACCAAATATAAATGTTTCCCAGTTTTATATAAACACATGCCCACCAATTAAACTTACAATCCTCATGTAGATATGCCAATCCTTTTGCAGTCCCCAAAGAAATTTTCAATCTTGTTGACCAGTCCATAGTAGGTCTTCCCTTTCCTGAAATGCATTAAACTACTAGTTATCAGATGAAACGTCACGCTCTACCGATAAATTTGAGGTATATACCATATACAGATCATTTAAGAGTAAATGGTGGTAAAATTATGAATTTCAATGGCGTGACAGGAACATAAATAAAGCATGAAAAGGGTCCCAACAAAATGAGGCGAAATGAGAACTTAGCTACATTTGACAGGTTTGACAAGAGATAAGAAGTAGAAAAGAAACAAGTATAAGTCTCTCTTCAGACTTTCAGTTATTTCAATACAAAAAAAATTAAAAAATCAATAAATGTGGTTGCATAAACTTAATATGCAAGATAATTCAGATAAGCAGTAACAAGCATAAAATCTCCTTCGAATTATTATGATTCAATAGAAAAATCAATAATGTGTATCAGTGGATACATACCATGCAAGTGAAATTCCAAGGTGTTATTTGGAACAAACTCATAAACAAGCAGTCTCTGAGTCCCGGTGATGCAGTATCCGACTAATGAAACGAGATGTTTGTGATGCACTCTGCTTATGATCTCAACCTCAGCCTGAAATTCACGCTCCCCTTGTCCACTTCCAGCTTTTAGCTGCTTGACAGCGACCTCTTTCCCATTTTGCAGAACCCCCCTATGCACATAACCAAAACCACCTTGTCCAAGAAGATTCGAATTTGAGAATCCCTCTGTTGCTCTCGCCAACTCTTCATATGTAAATGTGCTTTGCGAGAACCCAAAGGCCATGCCAGGTGATGGTGGTGGAAGTGGATTTTCAGGTCCAGAATAACTAGAACCAGAACCTCCACTACTGTTGTTGTAAGGAGGAGGAGGCCTTTCAAGTGAAGGGGCTTGTACTGGTGAGAGCGGAGGTCGTGAACTACCAGTGGGTGGTTGAGAAGGTTTCGGTGGTACAGTGAAAACATGATTACCAGGTGGCGGAGCATTATGCTGCCAATGGTATCCTGGGCCGCCATATGGATCAGCTGGCAAACACCAAAAAAATCCCAAAAATAAGTTCCCAGACTCCAGTTGTTAAAGGTATGGAGATCAGCCATGGACATTGACAAAAAGGGTCATTGAAAGTTTGAAAAATCCAGGGTTCATTAAAAGTAAGCTTCTTCAGCATTATTGGCATTTGCAGATTATTTTCATATTTTCACACTTCTAGCAATATTTCTTATTCAATCTTCATGTGATCATGTCTCAGTTCTGCATCTTCTTCATTTTAAAGTTTCTCCCCCCACCGCAGAGATTTCTATTGAAAATGACATCAAGTAACAATATGCTTACACAGCCACATATACATGAAAGTTAAGCATGTGTGGGGGAAAAGTTCATCCCTAATTATACTTTTTTCTTAAACCAGACTCCATTGTACACCCAATAAACCAACAACTCCCGAAGAACAATTTCTCAATTGATAATATTCCCAGAATGTATCCTTGAAAATAGATTAAATTTGCGTCGATTGCATCCCTATCTATATATGAAAACGTAAGAGAACCAATAGTTCATCTACTATAAACACAGTTTAAAAGATCAAATGAATTAAACAAACAATATACATTCCCATGAAAGGAATATAAAGCAATCAGTTCTGATAAATCATCAACTAAACTCAAAATAAAGATTTTGAAGCAATATATGTGAAGGAGAAATCTAGTCTTAGACTTTAAGATTGAACTTGAGTCTCGACTGTATAAAAAATCAAATCTTTTCAACTGAAAATTTGAACAATTCTCACCTTTAGGCTCAGGTGGTGGCGGTGGTGGATAGTAATGCGTTCTTCTCTTCTTTTTCTTGCAACATATAAAAAGTATAGTCAGAATAACAAGTATAACCACACCCCCTATGGCTATGCCCACTACCGTTCCCGTTGATATCCCATTTGCATTGTCATTCGATGATGATGTTGATGGCGGAGATCTGGCTGTACCAGTCTGTTCCGGCGGTGGGTTCCTACCAGAGGGAACGGGAGGTGAATTCCTGCCGGAAGGTGGTGAAGGAGGTGTGGGTGTAGAACCAGACGGCGGGGACGGAATTGGTGTGGTGGAGGATGGTGGTGATGGTGGGGTTGTTGACGGAGGCGGGTTTGAAGGAGGAGGTTGTGGCGGTGAAGGCGAGGACGACGGCGGCGGAGAGGAGGCTGGTGGTGTTGGAGTTGCAGGTGGAGGAGAAGTTGTTGTAGGTGGCGGGGTTGAAGCTGCAGGTGGTGGTGAGGCATTGCTTGTTGGAGGCGCTGGTGATGACGTAGGTGGCGGCGCTGATCCCGGAGGTGGCGACGACATTTTTATGCATAATATGTGAGCTTACTTTGTGTGTAATATATGCTTTGCAGTGTGTGGGGTCACATGGGTGGAGAATTAAGCGGCACAGTAGGGTAAAGCGGGACCCACGCGCTGGCCCGAGATTTGCTCCGTCTTTTGCTCTTCTGGATAATTAGCTGTCTTTTTTCAGGGTCAATTGCAACTCTCATTCCTAACCTTTGCCCAAAGTTGCAATTTTATCCATAACTTTTTTCTTCTTTTTTTTTTGTCGTCAACTTTGATAAATTAGCAAATTTGGTCAATTTTGATACTTTACAGCCAAAAAGCTGTTAAATTTGAGCAAAATGACGATCTTGTTCTCTAACTTAAATAAAATCAAAATAAATAACAAAAAAGACAGAATTAAAAAAAAAAAGAAAAACTATTCATCTACCTTATCATAATCCCTACCAAATCAAGGGATTTTCCCATGGGTTTTGCCTAGGCAAATCCCAAGGGGTTTCCTCTCCCACTTTTCATCGGGGGAGGCATAAGTCAAGGGATTTCGTCACCATCAATGGCAATGAAACTGGGAAAAACTCCCTAATTTTTCTTTTTTGACTCCACCGATGATAATGAGAGAAAAAGGTTGTAGTGAAACTTAGAGAACAAACTCTTAGGGTATGCGAAACTTTTTTTTTTCTTTGGTTAGGATCACATTCACAAAATTTTAACATATTTTTGAATGAAAAATATAAAAAATGACCAAATTCGCTAATTTATCAAATGTTGAGGATAAAAACCAAACAAAAAAGTTAGGGACAAGTTGCAACTTTGTGCAAAGATTAGAAAAAAGCTTTGCAATTTACTCTTTTTAATAAGAAGATGTTTGTTTTGTTTGGTGGAGGTTCTTAGTCATGATTGGTTCACAATTAGACTAAATAAAAACATCATAAGTATGTGATTTGATTTTGATTTTGTAGGTTATAAATTGTGAATCTCATTAAATGTGTAGCTAAAAAAAAGGATAGCTGTAAAAGGTTTTATCAAACATGTTCTAAGTATTGTGCCAAGCTTTATAATTTATTTTTACTTTGTAAATTTTATTAAATATCTTTTTGGTAATTCAAATTAAACTAGATTAGGACACAATCAATTTTAATGTATTTGGTGGCGGTTGAAATTACTCTATATGCCAATTTCTTCGGTTGGGAAAGACCTGCCATGTTTCTTTGGTGTTTTTTTCTCCTCTTCTTCCTTTTTTTATGCGTTTATACTAAATGATGTCATATGCATGGGTGGAATGAAGCCAAAGATGTTAACGGTCCATTGATAACATGGCCAAACCAGGACCATGGGCCCTACAAGGACCGGTACAAGAAAAATATACAGCAAATTAACAGAAAACACACTTGGTACGTTTTCATTGGAAGAAAAAAAAAAAGACAAACAGGCGAATAGGGTGTTGCCACGTCAGCACCCTATTTTTTTTTTCTAGCCAAGAATCCTGTACCTGCAGCTTTTTTCGCCCTACAAACTAGCTCATCCCTATGTCGAGCCAAACCCAATCAGCCTCTCGATTAATACTATGATTTGGAGTCCATTCTTGATCATCGGGTCAAGACATTTTGAACATAGTAAGTGGTTGGTCAAACTGCCTTAACTCAATCTATTACCCTAAGGAATGACATCCAAATAAAGCACAGTATTGATTTTAACTTCACACTGTCGAAGTCGCATCGATTAAGTGGTGTTGGTTTTCACTTCAACATTTAGCCCCTCTTCGACATCCTTTACTTCAAAACTCTTTTTTCAACATACTCATTTTCAACTACACATTTGTACTATAAAATATTTTGCACTTAAACTCAATGATCTTCTTTATTTTTTAACCACACATTCTCAAAAAAACCACATATTTGATAAGAATTTTATATTCTATTTAAGAACATGGGAGGAGATGATTGTGGTGTGAAAACTTTTTTTTTCTCACATTCTATCTCAAGCAAATTCTGTAGTTTATCCAAACTTGGTACCGATTTGAGCTTTGCATTATTATGAGGGCTTGGATGTTATTTTTGTACTTTTCACTTGAACTCTATTGGGTTGGGTTGCCAAACAAACATTGGATCAGCGATTAGCCCATATGACAGTTCACTTCATGGTATATGACCTAACTGGATATACCACTAATAAATAGGGCCCTATTTTCACAATCCAAATCCAAGAGCTATCTCGATATTACAAGTTGCAATCAAAAATTGATTATCAACAGAATAATTAGGATTAAATTAGGTTAATAAAGGTGGATTTTACCTTTTTGTGATTTGATTAATTTCAAGAATTTGTTGTTTATCTTTAATTGCATGTGTTTCGTAGATAATTAGATTAAAAAAAAAAAGAAGAAGAAACAGTAGCAGCAGCAGCTCAAACTATAACTTGTGTATGTTTCAAATTAGAGCTAGTTTAATTAAAGTAAATAAGTAAAATATCGGTCCTTATAGGTTCGACATCTGCGCATTATTATATTACTTGTTAATGATCCCTCTACTTACCTAATGAAATCAAATAACTCCTACATTTTTTGTTTTGTAACAACTTCGTCCTACTCAATTTTCGTCCAACCTCCCATCCTCGACCTTTAATTAATTCACACAAATGGTCCCTCGTTATAGTTTTCATCCAATTATTCCATTATTGTGATTGAAAACGATAATCTCTTCCTCACGCTTTAAATAAAATAATAAACAAATACAAAAGAGGCAAAATGAAATGATAAAAAAAATAAAAGGAAAAAAGAAAATTGCATTTTTTGGGTCTCAAATCTTTGTGAAATGTAAAAAATCTATCATCAACATTCTTTAGTATTATTCATTCCCAACCTTTCGATTATGTAGCAAAATTTGCAGTTCTTTTCATTAAACGATAGATTTACCATTCTCTTTAGATAAATAAAATAAAAGAATATGGTAAAAAAAATAAAAAATAAGAAAAATTACAAATGAAGTTCCGTAACTTTAATCACTTAAAATAATTAAACATGCATTAACAAATAGAAAGGAAAAAATTACATTTGTCACCTTCAACCTTTGTGAAATGTGAGAAATATACCCCCCAACTTTTTTTTTAGCATAATCCATCCCAAACCTTTCAATGGTATTGGCATGTCTTAAAACAATATTTTTCAAAGTCAAGTAAAAAAACACTTGAATGGAATTTATTTACTTAAATAAATAAATTGTTTCTTTTGATACACATTAATCTTGTCAAAATATCTCTAACATAAGTCCTTGTTTGATTTAGATTTTTCTGTAATAAATTTTTTTCACATTTTTATCAGACATTCTCTAAATAAAATTATTTTGCATGTGAATTCATAGTTTTTCTTCTAAAAAGAATCAATTTCCACAAATCACTCTAATTTTTTTTTAAATTTACGTGTAATATTATTTTATTAAGAATCTTGGTACATGTACACTCTATCACGTGACATTACCCGATTGGATAATTTAAATTTCAAACAGTTTTTTCATCCAATTGACACTTGACAACAATGTAAGTGCCAATCAAAGCGTAAAAAATCGGTGTACAATTAACAAAGTCCTTTTATTAGAAGATTAAAAAATGAGATAGAATAATGCATTTGGGATAAAATGTAGCCCAAACAAGGGAATTATATTCTTTTGCCTTGCTCATAAAAAAAATATAAATAAATAAAAATCTTTTTTTTTTGTATATGGAAAATCAAATATCGATATTTTAATTTACTGAAAATCCCCCATCTTTTACCTTATTTTACAGTCGTCACCTTCCGTTTGTAACTCTTAAGAAAGCTGCCTTCTTTGTCACTCGCTATCAGTTGATTTCACCGGTCGATTAGAGGTATCTCCGATGAAAATTTCCCATTCTCTCATACACTCGTTCACTCTTTTATGCGTTTATATTATTGTATGTATGTGTAGATGTTGTATATGGTCTTCTACAATTGTTTTAATTGAATGTGTTGTGCGGATCTGCGGATCAAGATCCTGTTTCATTCAATTGCGGATATATATCATAGAACAGTCCCGGATGACATGCATGCCCGTAGATTTTGTGCCCGTTTAAAGATTTTGTTTTTCTCGTCGATTTTAGACATGGGTCAAGTGTAATTTGCACGTTCTTCTTTCAGCATTATAAAATAATCGATAATTTCATCTTTCAGACAAATGATTTTCCCTTTAATTTTCTGGTTTTTATATGAGTTATTTGCTTGTGAGTTTTGCCTTTTCTTTTCACTCATATATTCGTGTAATTTGTGTCTTCTCAGCGCTTCAACGTTAGGCTCAAATTTGAGTGTATTTATTTGAAATTTGACGTGTCACATATTTTCTTTCTGTGCGAAGGACTATTCGGTGATGGTACCTTCAACTATGTATTTCTCTGTCTTGTGGGTCTTGACAGTATTTTTATGATTAGGCCTGGTGCTTCTGTTTTCGGACGTTACATATTAAGGTTTGAATTTTGATACTTGTTCTTGTGTGCTTGAGCGGCAAAATAAAAAAATGGCAACACATCCTTGACTTTAAATTTCATTTATTCCATGCTATTCATGTCAGGCCAAGTAGATTAATACAATATCTAAAAATTTCAAAGCTTATCGCGGGTAAAGTTTTACTATTGTTTGGCTTGTGAGATCGGTAGTATTTGTTGGTCGAGGCATACTTAACTTTAACGTAGACTGCAATTGCATGTAATAAAGCAACTTTAGTCGTGCTGCTATAGTATGTGCATGTATATTTTATGTTGTTTTTTGGTTAGTGAACAAGGCTTTGTACCCTCTAATCATGCAAGATATTATTTTGAACTGTCATGGTATTATTTGAGGTTTCTCATGACAAATAAATTGGGCCACACAAGTGTTTTAGATTTGGTTGTCATGTTTTAGAAACTTATGAATGTTGTCGTTCCTTTTTCCAAAATATTATGATGTAATGTAGCATAAAAACTTAAAGGAAAGTGTCCTTTCCGTGTCTAACAATCGTACACAAGACCAATTTGTT